GGGGACTTCCCTAAGTTCAGAGAGAAATGGAACTAAAGTACAACACTTTTTACTGCAAAAATGAAAAATTAAAATCTATGTATAATTTTCATAATATTCATTTTCCATAGCCTTTTTGAAGATGCCCTAGTATGGTTTATAAAGAAAAGAAACAGCGTCACCATACAAATATGACACTATAGCTGGAACATCGGAAATATTAAAAAAAAATAAACAGCATATCAAAAAGATATAGAGGTCCAGGGCCAGCCTCAGCTGACGGTTAAGCTCTGTGCAGACTCCACATGGCCAGTCAGGGTTCAAGTTCTGCCCCTGGCAGCTTACATGCTAGGTCCAGGATCCTGACAGCATAGAGCATTAGAGGAAAAAGGATTGGAGGAAGAAGGACCAAACCCATTGGAGAAATCCTTTCTTTCTTTCTTTCTTTCTCTCTCTTGCATGTTCACACACATGCCCTCTCAAATAATAAAATAATGAAAATATGTAAAGGTCCAGAAGTCACTTAATGTGGCACCATGTTGGAAGTCAAAAAAAAATCACTTTCTAAAAAAAAAGATCTTATATACAACTGGGAAATGTTAAAAATATCAATTAGCATTCCCATGCAAAGTATCTTAATAGGCATCAATTAGCAGAATGAAATATGTCAAAAATGGAAGTAATCATTCATTTAAATGGGCCGAGGTAAAGGGTACAGGCAAACTGCCTGACTTTGAAAGGAAGTAGAGGTACCGAACTCTCACGAGACCTCTATAAACAAAGCTATGACTTACCTCCAAACAAGCATGTATTCTAAATAATTACCAACAACTGTCTTGCATTGTGAGTCATTTTTCCCTGAGTCGCCTAGTTAATGGAGCACATCTAACTCATATCATGTAGTAGATGGGAGCAACAATTCCGGAATCTGTGAAATCTATGGCATTTTAATCCATGGTTCTACTGCAGACTATCCTACCATAAACTCCAGTAAGCATACATGATCCAAAAATACTCAGCAAGGAAGTGAGGCTACAGGAAAGCCTGTGTAATCACCAATTATCCAAAAAAGGAAGTGAAGTATTCCACATCTGTGAAACTTTGTTTATATAATTAACTCCTTGCAACCAAACCTGCTAAATCTTCTGAAAGCGTCCTAAGTCATAATTAGAATAATCAAAGCATGTGCACACATAAAAATTCATACACATGCATACCTTGGCTTTTGTTCACAAAGAATTTAATTTGATTAACAATACCAAAATCTGCCATTGTTACATCAATTAAAAATTGGAGAAGGCTGGAGTGTTTCTATAACTAACTGTCAATGCCTACATTTTCCCACATGTCCAACAGCTCCGATAGGTTTGGACTCTGCTCTGTGCAGTGTCAAGCTCAGTTCAAAAGCAGTTCTTCAAAGAAGCCTTCCAGGCCCACCCTCCCGAGCATACAGCTCACCCCTTCCCAGCTCCAAGAACTCATGGTACACTCAGACTTCCTTCTCGTTACATCTCTTACACTGTCATTAAGTCATTAATTGTGTAAGTCTCTAATTAGTCGTTTGGTCGTCTTTCCTGGCACTATCGACGCTTTGTGAGGAAAGTTTTTGTGTTCTATGCCTCAAACGGAGTAAGCACTGAATAAATATATGCTGAATGAATAAATTACAGTTACTGTTTCTTCCACCTTAATCAAGAGCCATCACTGAATACGCCTGGAAGAATGAAGTCTTTTTCGATAAAGCTCTACAAAAGCAATTCAGCTTTCAGCCTACAGCACCAGAGCCTAAGGTGACCCCAGTCATTTTTTTCTTTGTCCAAATATATAGAAATCAATGAGAATATTCTCCAAACCTCTAAAATCAAATATATTTTTGTTTGTAGGCGCCTATTGAGTGTTCAATTCATTTGGTATTATTTTATACCTTTTACAGGACCCAGGGAAACAACTGCTCCATTAACTTCTAACTAAAGTGTTTTTAATAGGATATAAAATTAAAATACAATGCAACATACCATAAAACAAAATAATACATTTAAGACAACCCTAGGACCAGCAGCTGGCATAATGGCTATGTCCCTGGACTCCCATGTAGTCAACCGCAGTTCGAGTCCTGGACCCAGTGGCTTAAACTAACACTGGGTGTGTGTGTGTGTGCATGCACAAGATCCTGAGAAGAGAATGGAGGAGAAGGATTGTGGCATGGCCATCCTCCCTGGGGGAGTGATTTCTCGCTTTCTGTCTCTCTAAAACACATTTGCTATTTAGTGTTTTGTTAAGAAGACATTTCATGAATCTTTCTGTTTTTCATGAAATCTGTTCCTTGTTGAGCTAAGTAATCCTGTTAATCTGGCAGATAGGAAAAAGGGAACCCCATAGTTTGTGACAGTGGACATGTAGAAGGGCTCTGTTACTTGGGCTACTATGAACGCAAGGCACAGAGGGCCCATGAAAGCACCTCAGGGACTAGGAGATTTATGAGCAAAGGTGGAAGCCCAGGATTCAGTCTCCCTGCTCAGACACGCAGGGACAGCAGAGGAGCAGGCCCCTCGGTGGGCAAGTGTCACACACCTGGGAAGGATAAGCATTCCCTCAACAGCAAAAGAGAATTGGTGCTCCCAGATAAGGGAACCGCCATGAACAAGAATCATGGCTCCTGCCACTACCAACTATCTATTTTTAATCTGTCTCCTCTAAATACAGCAAGTCTTCAAAAGGTTCACAGAGGGGACTGCAGTGGCACAGTTGTGGCGCAAATGGACCCACATGGGTTCATGTCCCAGGTCCTTCCTGAGCACACCAAGTACATGTGCTCCAGCTGAGACTGTGAAATTCCAGTGTGAGGATCCAACTGGGGGTGCCTACTTTTCTCTTTCCC